TTTAAAAATGGCGCCGGCCGGCTTCATGCAAATGAAGCCCGGGAAATTCAAATCCCGGACTTCATTTGCAATTGCGGATGACTACATTACCCCCGCTAGTGTAGACATACCCAAAGTTACTCAGGGTGTGAAAAATTCACACCACTGAGTGATGCAGTTATACTGACCTTAACCCCCATGATGGTAGAGCTTCTCTCGCCAACATAGCTACCACTATTTGGGGAGATGGAGTTATTAAGCTGATGGGAAAACTCTCTCATCATCATCATCGAGCATCCTTAATAGACGTGCTATAACAGCACAGTGTAATTGGTGCACCTGGGCCAATGTAAATTTGTGGTATAGACCTGCCCTAAGTTGTCCAAGATAACAAAAATGCAACTCAGCCTGTCACATAAACTTGCTCATAAAAATAAGCAAGATAAAGATGGGAAGATTAAATCAGTCCAACCATAAGTCTACTGATTCAATACAAGGAGCAGGTTAAGACTATGATTGGTAAATAAAAGAAAACGGATAAGAAATAAATGAACCAAAATTAGCCTGGCAAAATTAGGCCTAATTCATGGATAAAATAATCAGGGGGATGGGCTATGTTGCACATTTCCCCCTTGGGGGGGAAGTGTTAAAAAAAGACGTGGGGATAAGAGAAACTTGGTGCTAGGTTAGAAGATCAATGGATTGAACTTCAGTGTCATTGTTGCCTCCCCCTCAACCTCCTGGAACCCCACAAACCAACATGGCACTGTTGGGCCTTCATGGCACTGTTGGGCCTCTGATCCTGACAGATGGCCTGACCAGACCAGGAAAGAGGTAGAGACCCAGATGACATCACCAATTCCAAGAGCTTCAACTAAACCCTAAACAGTAACTAGAATGAGAGACTTAGGCTCGTGCTATCACCTCTTCCTCTGTGTCATTTTCCTTCCTAACAACTTGTTTCCTCTCTTTCCTATTCCCCCTGCTGTTTAACAAGAGTCTAGCTTAGCCAGCCAATACAGTCTCTCTTGCAACAGTGTAGTGAGCCTATGACCAAAGGGGCAGCAAAAGCCACACCTTGAACAATTCAGTGCTGCTACAAAAACAAGGTGGCAAGTGAGAGTCAACACAAGATGTAAGGCCTCACAAGTCTAGGGCCTTGACCAGATTGTGCTTCCCTACCCACAACCTTCTGTGGACACAGAGCACGGAAAGCCCCACCCGAAGGCATCTGATAAGCAGCAGTTTCATGGCTCCTAATAGCTTCCCTTCTCCCTATAAACCAAGAAGGGAAATACAGGGAATATACAGAAAGTGTCCAGTGTGGATCTCCAGTAGCTGCCCTGATCATTTGCTACTCCTGGCTTTGACCTCAGCTTAATTTGGACTTTGCCTCCTGACTCAGACCCTGAATCCTGATTTGGATTCTGACCTGCGATATTCATGCTGGCATGAACCCTGATTATGTTTTACCCCATTCTGATCCTGATTGTCCTTGCAAGCTCCTGTCACAGGAGACAGAAGTTGAATTTTTTAATCTTTGCTGTGCCCTTGTGTGTGTGTTTATCTTGTTTTGCCCCCAAGGAAGTCATATTCTTACAATGAATACTTTATTTTATACTTTACATTTCAAATACTTTAACTGCTTTTTCTTTCTCTAGCTTTAATAAATGGTTCAATATTTTTAATGTGGATTGTTGCCATTACCATAAGCAGGCCAATCTTTCTGGGCATTGTTTAATTATTTAGTGTTGTACAGTGACTTAGACATATTAACATCTTTGACTATCTGGACCCTTATTTTCCATAAAAATTAACACAACAGCATCTAAGGGAGTTAAATGGTCAACTCCTATTGAAAGTCAGCAATTTATAGTGAATAAGCACAGGACATCTTTCTCATGAATACTTTAACAGCATATAGCTTTCACTCTGCCAATCAAGGGCAAAAATTGCACTTAATATTTTGTGCATTGTACAAATCAGTTTAGCAACTGCATCTCTTGACTCCAATCATAATGTTTCTTGTTTATTAGATAAGGAAATTCCGAGAAGTCAGGTGTTGTGTGTTGCACAGTTAACAAGATAGTGTTAGAAGAGAGTCCAAGGCAAATTTCAAAGTAGGTGGTACCCAAAATGTGCTAACTTTATTTCAGCTACAATGTTAAAAAAAAAAAAAGGTCATTTTTCTTTTTTAGTTTGTGAAAGGATTTGGTTGCATCAACTAATCTCATCATGACTTTGGAATGCCTCCTTAAAACGTAAATATCCAAAAAAAGACACTGTTAATTGATTGATATGAAAGTAGGAAGTTTAAAAAAAACAAGCCCTTTTCTATTTCTTATTTGAATTGCTTCTATTAATTCCTAAATGTCTTAATACAGTGCAATATTTGGTTGTAACTTGGGAAGCAGGGAAGGCATCTGAAAACTTACAAGTCCGTATTCCCGCTCTGATATATTTTCCAGAAAAGGGTTGAAGAAATTCAGGTTTTTTGCATTGTACTCCCAACCATCCATAACTTCCTTAGAAACTATCTATGCCCATTCTGCCATGTAATACTACTCTATTTAATGAATATATTTATATTGAAAAGTACCAAGCTATATATGTTTATGATGCAGATAGTTTTATAAAAAAAATAATACTTTGTGTCCATCCATTTGCAGTTTGGATCACTGTTATTCTAATGGAAATTATCTGTAGAAACTCATATTAGACATAAGATGAAAGATTTCAATACAGAATATGCACTGTCACAGCTAGACCCTATGTCCTGTTCTAGTTTCCACCTAACACCCGTATAAAGAGTGGTCAAATCACCTCCACAAACACTTTAATGGCTTTTTAGGAGGCAAGTTTATTTTAGAGTATGCATATAAAATATAGGAAGTAGAAGAAATGTAATAATGCATGAATATAGGGCCAAATCCTCAGCTGGTACAAATTGGCATAACTGAATTGAAACCCATCAGTAGTATGCAAATATGCACTGATTGAGGAGCTGAACCATACAACATAATGTCTACATATAGCTGAAAACTACTTTTGTAGCATCCTTTTTCCTACATTCACTGACTTTAAAAAGCCCACAGTACTCTGAAGTATGAATTTTCTGATTTGCACTTCCGTAATGAATAATTCAAATTATTCTGGAATTTGTTATCCATGAAAGATTAAAATATTTACACATAAATTACTTATTTTATTGTTTAAGTCATTTTTGAGGGAAACCACAAAATGACATCAACTAAAAGAATATTGTTTGTGAAAGAAAAACAAACCATGAAAAAGAAAATTAGCTTGACACCACATTTTGCCCTTCAAGCCTATTTTTTTAAATTTGCTTGCTTTGATTTCACTTGCCTTTGCTGCTCTCTGAAAGTGATTTATATGCAATACCACATTCGTTTGTTATACTGATGTCATCTACAGCAACAGTGGCATTCTGTGATAGAACAGTGGCTTGTAAAATGATCTGTAATGACAAAGAAATAAATACCCTTAAAGTTGACATAAAAAGATATATAATTTCTTTATCATACCTGGTATCTCTATGGAGAGTAAATGCCACCACAGTTTTGAAGAACGTCACTAACCAGAAAAACATGTGGTTGAAACTAGTATTGTAAGACTCAAGTCAGAAACTTAAAACTCAACTTTCAAAGACATAACTACCTTTACAGAGAGTTATGGAACCTTGTTTCAAACAAAAGCAATAATAATCATCACTTCCTGAATGTGCTGTCTTCCTCGTAGAACCATTAAGTTATATGTCTTTTTAAATTAGCTATTCAGGGTAACCAAATGTGGTGGTTTACAACTCAATTTAATTGAGATATGAGTTCATTTAGACCACATCTGCTGAAGTTAGTAAGACATTTCCATACAAGAAATACATACAGTGTGAATATGAAGATATTTTTAAATGCACAATGTCCCCAACTCCCTGCCATCTAGCACATAAAGAAGCCATATTTGACACATGAAGTCACTGAATGGCCATACTGGGTTCGCTTAACTACAGCCCTCTGATTCAGGCTATAATGTATGTGAAACAGAGTTTCTTAGCTTTATTTTAAAAAGTTTTCATAATAATACAAATAGTCGGGGGGAGGGGTGTCTGAATAGCATGCTTATGAAACGGGACATGCTCATGAAATTGTCCAGACATGAGCTGCCTTAGGATAATTTTTCAAAGCACCACAGATCAACTGCCTGATCCAAAATAAATGCAAACCATTTCCAAGGGGCCATTCCAACTGGCAGAATCACTGGGACATTGCACACTCTTGACAATTTAGTTAAGAGTGGTGTAGGAGCTACTATGGCAGTACCATATAGCTCAAGCACCCACATGCAGGGAGAATTTTCATATGGCTAAATCCACCAAGTTTATAGCTACTTTTTGCTGGTGAAGTAATGCAAATCTATGAGAAGACAGGGCAAATCTGCCTGACGGTCTGCTCTTACATATTCCAGAAGGCAAATGCTGCTAAAAATCATACAGGACTTGTGATGAAGTGTGATTATGTCCCACCAATATGTGCTTGAGTGGAGATTGTCTTGTCCCACTCATATAGTCAGAATGCCTAAGGCTGATGCATCAGGGCTCTGGGGAGTATTTAACTTTCAACTTGGCCCTTTGTCCTATTGGTGGGTATTACTACAGGCCAGTTTCTGACCATATCAAGAGATGAGAGTATTCAGATGACATGTTTTCTTAACAGATGGAGCATTGGTGAGTAATTCAACATTTGTCTTTTACATCTATTTCAGTGGTTCTCAAACTGTGGGTTGGGAACCTAAAGTAGTCACAGCTCCCTTTTATTGGAGTCACAAGGGCTGGCGTTAGACTTGCTCAAGGCCAAAGATACAGCCCAAACTTCTGGGACCAAATCCAAATCCTGAAGGCTTTAGCCCTGAGTGGCAGGGATAAAGTTATGGGACCCTCCACCTGGGGCCAAAGCTCTTGGACTTTAGCTTTGCCTCACCTCCCCACCCACCCCCATCCCAGGGCCGTGAAGCTTGGGCTTTGCCCTACCCCAATCCGTCACAGTGAGGCTTGAGCAGGCTCAGGCTTGGTTGTGTAGTAATTTTTGTTGTCAGAAGGTGGTCAGAGAAACAAAGTCTGAGAACTCCTGATCCAGTTAAAGGCAGGTATGAAACAGTGTGAAAGTCCAACTAAAGCCTGGAGGGCAATCAATGTTGCAAGTATTAATCGTTACTGACTAAAATGTCCAGGAGCCTGCACTCACCCTCCATGTAGCCAACACCACTAGCTGCTAATTTTTGAGTATGTAATCACAGAATTATAGAAATACTAGGGGGTGGTGCCCCCTGCTCGCTACACTCACCAATCTCCCTGTCTCTGGGTGTAAGCAAGCCCAGCTCTCCCCCCGATGGCTGGGGGAGGGCCAGACCAGGGTGGGCAACCCCAGCCTGCTCCTTCCTCCCCCTCCCCCCATAGGTGCCAGGCAAAGGCCTGGCCAACCCCAACTCTTCCCCCACCCGCAACCTGTACTTCAATTTGAACCCCCTGCCTCCATTCCTGCACTCACCATCCTCCTTAACCCCTCCCCATTTCTACCTCCACACTGCCCATCCCCCTGCCTCCATTCCTATATCCTACCATCCCCCCTTGCCACACCACCCATCCCCTTATACATCCTATCTCCCCTTCTTCCCGTCCTCCCCCCCCCCATGAATTCATCAAGCTGCATGCCCCTCCTCCCCAGGAGCACCATTGGGCTGGGCATCACAGCAGGAGCCAGAGCCTGCCCCCTGCTCAGCGTTTCTGAAGGGGCCTGCTGGGGCAGCTTTGCTCCATCACACGCTCAGAGCACAAATTGGCCACTCTGGAGAACTGGTGAAAGACCTGCCCAGCAGTAGCAGGCCTGGGAGAGTGCACCTGAGCCCAGGCCACACAAAACCAAGCTGCGCAGCAGAAGCATGAGCCGGGCAGGCTGGGGGCAAGGTCCAGAGGCAGGCGGATGGTGCTCCAGGGAGTACACAGGCATGGAGCCACCACCATCCCATTTCATAGAGCAGTCACGTGGTCAGGGCTCCTGGGGATGTCACTTTGTCATCCTGCAGGAAATTTATTACACACACACACACACACACACACACACACACACACACACAGATTTAGGATGTCATCAGGTCCAGCTTTTGTGATCAGGCAGGAACAAGTAAAACTAGACCACCCTGATAGGTCTTTATCCAACCTGTTCTTGAAAATCTCCAGTGGTCAGGGTTCTAGTCTGGAAATGTATTCTGGAGTTCAACTACTCTTCTAATTAGAAAGTATTTCCTAATGTTTAACCTAAATCACCCTTGCTTCATATTTAGCCCATTACTTTTTTGTCCTTCCTTCAGTAGGCATGAAGAACAATCAATCACTACCTTCTTTATAACATCCCTTTCCACATTTAAAAATGTATCATGTCCCCCTCAGTGTTAAAGACTAAACATGATTTTTTCCTACCTCTCCTCATAGGACAGGTTTGTCTCAACCTTTTACCATGTTTGTCTACATCTTTCCTAAAGTGTGACACCCAGAATTGGACACAGTAGAGTGAGGCCTGACCAGAGCAATTACCTCCTATGTCTTACTTAGGCTACACAATTTGCGTATCTTTTTCCACTTTTCTTTCAAAAGAGGCTTTTCCAAAATTTGGCGCCTCTACACGGCACCAAATTTCAGAAAAACCTTCTCTTTCGAGCTGTCCCTTCTTCCTTGTAAAGAAGGAGATGGCGAAAGAACGCATCTGCTTTTTTGGAAATTTTTCCGAAAAAGTGGACGCGTTCCTTAGACACAGCATAGCTTTTCCAGGATATCCCAGAGTTATCCCAGAAAAGAGCTGCAGTCTAGATGCATCCTTAATGTCTTAATGTTAACACACCACAAAATAATATACACCTTTTTTTACAACGGTACCATTTTTATTATACTGCACATTTAGTACTTGACTATCATAAATGTGTGATTTTAATACATAAACTTCTGAAACACTGACATCCCTCTTTAATTTCCACATCTATAGAAAAAGCTTAAAGTAATTCCTTATAAAAGTGTGAGCAAAGAATATTTTAATTCATGAAAATAAATTAATTCTAAAAGCCATATTGAAATACCTGTTTGTAAACAAAATGTAATTGCCAATACAGTTACCTGGAAAGGTGAAGGTGGCATCTCCTCAGGTTTGCTTTCTATAAGAATATTTGCTTTAGTCCACTGCCTCTTGGAGAAACCTGCTATGTCGCCTAGTTTTTGCAAATCCTTACCAAGGACAGTTCTCTTAAAGACAGAGAGCTGGGAATCCAGTGATAACTTATACCAAAACATTATCTGTTGAAAGAAATATTTATTAAATGTGTTGGGCAGCTTGCCAATGTACAGCAATTTCAATATAGATTTACAGCATTATAATCACTGCATTATAATAACTTTGCATTGCATTGTATTGTGTACACACTCACAAGTCACCCATCCAGAACACACCACACGATCCATCGTCTATAGCCAAGCCCTTCGATACAACCGCATCTGCTCTAACCCCACTGACAGAGACCAGAAGCTTCAGGATCTCTACCAAGCATTTATAAATCTCAACTACCCACCCAGAGAAATAAAAAAGCAAATTGAAAGAGCCAGACGAATACCTAGAAACCATCTACTTCAAGACAGACCCAAGAAAACCAACAATAGAACACCACTTGTCATCACCTACAACCCCCAACTTAAACCTGTCCAACACATTATCAATAAACTACAGCCTATATTGGAACAGGATACCATACTCAAAGAGGCTCTGGGAGACAGACCCATAGTCTCCTATAGACAACCACCTAACCTCAAGATGATTCTTACCAACAACCACAGGACATACCACACTAATACCAACCCTGGTACCTTCCCTTGCAACAAACCTCGTTGCCAGCTTTGTCCACATATTCACTCTGCTGACACCATTATTGGGCCTAACCAAGTGAGTTATAAGATCAAGAACACATATTCCTGCGCATCCAGAAATATAATCTATGCTATCGTGTGCCGAAAGTGTCCGTCTGCTATGTACATTGGACAAACATCTCAGACACTTCGCCAAAGGATTAATGCCCACAAAACAGATATCAGACAAGATCACAAAGAGAAAACAGTTTCTTGCCATTTTAACCAGAAAGGACACTCTCTCAATGACTTAACCACCTGCATTCTGCTACAAAGACCTTTTACATCTGCACTTGAAAGGGAATCCTCTGAACTGTCATTCATGTTAAAATTCGACACTCTCCAAAAAGGAATGAACAAACACTCGAACTATCTTACCCATTACCAAGATAGCTTCCCCAATTATCACCTCTAATACCATTAACTCACAAACATCCCACTCTCCCCACCTCTATTATCATCAATTCACAGACACTTACCTTCCTTCCTTCCCCCCCCCCTGCATCCCCCTCCTGTTCTGAAATGTGATTTGTCCTTTTCATATATGTTCATTTTTTTTAATTGTATACTTTGGTATATATGGTTGTGACTATTTTCTTCCACTATTTGATCTGAGGAAGTGGGTCTAGCCCACGAAAGCTCATCATCTAATAAACCATCTTGTTAGTCTTTAAAGTGCTACATTGTCCTGCATTTTAAGTCATAATGCATCAGGCATACCTTAAAGGATTCCAAAGGATGGCAATTTGTTTCAAAAGGGTAAAGGCACTATAAATATGTACCTATGATATTAAATATATATTTCCATCATAACCTATCAATATCTATGATTTCTCTTCCTTCTCTGGAGCTCCTAAAAAAAGAATAATTGTTTTCGAAACTTTACCCTGAGACACAGGTAAAATATTTGAAAAGGCAAATTAAGTGAGGCTTAAGGAAAGTCAGAGAATGATGTAAAAATATAAAATACCATCTGAACTGTCATTCTTCATCTGCTTTTCAATTTTCAGAACCAAACACGCAAACCATCAGGGATGAAAATTATGGAAGAGGGTTTTTTATTTAATTATTCTGATGGGCTACTGAAATCCAATGGCAAGTTTATGGCCTAGGAAGTGAGGACAACAGGGAACAGGGTGGAAATGGAAGCAACTGGAAAAACTGGTGTGGAAGGCATGGAAGCCAGGAAGACAGAAAACAGAACTCTTTAACCCTCTAGAAAGAACAGGGATTAGTGACTCATATAGCTTGACCTAGTTTCAATAAGTTTCGTTGAGTAGTATTCCAAATACCATTGTGACCACAAGAATTGGAGAGAAATAAGATTTTTAAGGAAACAAAATTTGTATTTTTCTTTTCATAAGTTTTTTTCCACTTTTTTACATAATGAAAGGCTAAAATCCCCCAACTGCAAAGCCCTCCATTCTCTGCAAGCCCTAGATACTCAATTTCTCTCACTACAAATGAAAGGATACTCAGCTGGTGAATATAACTTGTTGCTAAAGACTCTCTTATCCAGTTCTATTTGCATCCTTAGTGGTAAGTTTCCATGGGGGTTCTTGGATCATCAGATTACACAGAAAATGTTCTCCAGTTGATCTTGTCTTAAATTATAGGCTGTAAGCAAATAGATCTAAAGAACTCAACCCATTTTAGGTTCACTACCACATAGCATTGTTGTGCTGGAAAGCACTGCTTCATTGCCAGCATGCCATCTTTGGCAATCACAGATCTATCTGCCTGAAGTTGATAGATGGGGTAGTTATCTTTCACAGAGGGTAAGGCCAGGACTACACTAGGAGCACTCTGCTAATATATGCGGACATACCACACCAGTGTAGCCAGACAGGAACCTCCCTTGTAACATCCATCTTTGCTTGCCTGGACCATGCAGGGCACACAGAGCAGGAAAAGCCTTGAGCAGGAGGCTCAGGATATGCAGGCTGCTGTGACTCTGAATGGCTGTAAACAGAGATATGCCAATTGCTGACCAAGAGACTGCCGAGGAGTGCCCTTGACTAAAACCCATATTGATACGAACACACAGCCGTCCGTGGGGTGAGGATCTCCCGCCCAGTAAAAAACTGTCTAGTACCCCTAATTTAGCTATCTTCCTCTCTTCCAAGTGTAAATTATTTGAAACTTGCTTGTAAGAACTGGCGCCACAAAACGGACCAGTACATCTTAAGGTAAGAAAGAGGACACGGGCCCCCAGGGGTATAAAGATGGGTCCAGCAGCACATTTACTCTGAGTGTCAATCTACCATCTATCTGCTGGTCGGGTTAGGTGTTTTGACCTCCCGAGGTTCCATGGGGACTCCCACCTTGTATTCGTCTTTCCTAGGAATTGAGGGACCGGCCCTGGCTTGACCCGCTGGAGTCGAGAGGCACAGAAGGGGGTAAAAATTGTACCTGGTTGTGGTCCTTTGTCTTAAATGTACACTTAAATGTAGACTTAGAGCTCTTTAAAGATTAAGCTGTCACTTGATACCATTATTTCTATTTTCTATCTTTATTTTCTTTGTAACCATTTTTAAGATCTATATTTGCTAGCAGTTAAGAAAGAGAGCAATAGCCATTGTAACCATATGCTTTTATAAGTCTTTTTAATAAACCTGTAACTGTTTAAGTTTTAACCTGACTCCTTCAGTTGCTGTAACAGAACCAAGCACAATTTAAAAGAACTTCAGCTGGTCATAAGGGACAGGTATAGGAAGAGCTTGGGCGTTTTGGATCATGTCACTCCCAGGTGACAGATCCGTTGGGGCATCTCTCAGTCTTCCCTAGACTGCCTGCTGCGAAGGGATCCTGTATCCTAGCAGCTAAAATCTGAGGTGTAATAAGCTCTTCCTATAAACAGGGGCGTCTGTCAGCCTGTTGGCTGCCCTCTGCGATGGGACCCCGGTCCTAGCAGTAAAGTCATGGACGTTAAACCCTTTTCTCGGTAACATACATACACACACTGCCCTGACCGTCAGTTGACAACCAGTTAGCGCTCGTATCATGGACACAGCTTATATGGGCAAAACTGAACTTTTACCTATATAGTTTATTCCAGTTCTTCCATGCAAAACAAGAAACCTGTACAGTGCAGTTTTGCTGATTTAAGCTGTGTCTTCACAAAGAGCTTTTGCCAGTATACCTAGGTCTGTCAGGGATCACATCTCATCACACTTCTCACCAGTATAAGCTTACTGTCAAGAGTCTGTAGTGTAAACATTGCCTAAATGGAAGAAACAATTAAGCCTCTTTATGGAATAAAATAGCTGAATTAAGAGACACCAGTTCCTTGGGCTACACAGTAAGGCCTGAGCAAAAACTAACTCAGGAACAATAAGAAGGTTTTCCCAAGGACTGGTTGAGTATACAGAATTTGGGGCATTAATTTAGTTGCATCTATGCATATCAGCAGCAGACAGGACTGGAAAGCAAGAAGACGGGAGCAGTAGTATGAATGCAGCCCTGAGAGGAAGCTAAGAGAGAGTATTGTTTTTTGAGCAGAGCAATGACTGGAAAAACAGGCTTGAAAATAGAAAACAAGGAAACTGTCTGTCTGTTTCCACTGTGCTCAGGGAAAGGTGGAATGTCATGGTGCAGGCCATTCTTCTGTGCCCCCTTGCTGTCAAAGACAGATTTATGGGTGAGTTCTGCCTTAACTTCCTCTCACCTAGGGCCTAAATAAGTCCAAGCAGGTCTTCAAGTACTGAAGAGGGCCTCCTTTAGAGGACCTCAGTTATTAACAGAAAAGACCAACACAAAGTATTAGAAGATCTTCATTCAACTACTCCACATCAAAGACATCCATATAGGGGTTCATTGTTTTTTCCATCACAGTCCTTTAATACTGGGGCACTTTCAAATTGAATTCTTCATCTGGAGGCACAGCCTCTGTAGGGCAGGGGGGAGAGGGGGGGAGAATCTGCCAGTAGCCGCTTATTCCCCACAACATATTGCTCTTTGCTGAGTCAGCCCTGGTAACTAACCCTGCCACATTCTTCTCCTCGACTGCTCCTACTTCCCTCCCTGGGATCACTCTGGCTGTGGAACTGCTTTCTCTTAATTAGCCCCTTGTTACCAGAAGCCTCTTTTCCTTGGAAGCACCTGCCCTAACTGAAGTGGGGTAATCTTCTTCAGGGCCATCCCTACAGGTGCAGCCCCACACCAGTACCCCACCACAGGGGGCAGGGGAGTGGTGCTCTGTACAGAGTGGGGCACTGAAGCTGTGGGAGAAAGAGGTTGCCAACTCTCCTGGACCACATAGACCTGACATCATTTACTGTGGTGACATCAAGTCCATCAGGTCCAGGAGATTGGGCAACCTGGAGCAGGGCCAAGTGGGAGGTATGGACCAAAAGACTCCACAGCAGCAGCAGGTGTCCATGCAGCCAGCCAGAAAG